TAATGTGGTATTATTACAAAAATTTCGAAAAAAAAGTTGTTGAAAGTCTTAAAAAAGAACTAGAATTTTATGTCGTAAAAAGGATAAATTCAAAAAATCGTATCTGGGTTATTTATTGAAGTACACTATTGATTCATGTATAATTTTAAAGCTAAAAGATGATACTTTGGGGGAAGATATAAATATGTTGCTGTTTGGTTATAAAAATTTTCAGAAAAAAAAAATGTTGTAAAAGTTTTATGAAAAGATTAGGGTTAGATAAACCAAAAAAAATCATATCTGTCTTATTTTTAGGAGTACAGAATTGATTTATATGTTAAATTAGAGCAAAAAGATGATATTTTATGATAAATCATAAATTTAATGTGGTATGATTACAAAAATTTCGAAAAAAAAGTTGTTGAAAGTCTTAAAAATGAACTAGGATTTTATGTCTTAAAAAGGATAAATTCAAAAAATCGTATCTGGGGTATTTATTGAAGTACACTATTGATTCATGTATCATTTTAAAGCTAAAAGATGATACTTTGGGGGAAGATATAAATATGTTGCTATTTGGTTATAAAAATTTTGAGAAAAAAATTTTGTAAAAGTTTTATGAAAGGGTTAGGGTTAGATAAACTAAAAATATCATATCTGTCTTATTTTTAGGAGTACAGAATTGATTTATATGTTAAATTAGAGCAAAAAGATGATATTTTATGATAGGTCATAAATATAATGTGATATTATTACAAAAATTTCGAAAAAAAAGTTGTTGAAAGTCTTAAAAAAGAACTAGGATTTTATGTCNAGTTTATGGAGGCTTTGGTATATTTTATTATAAAAATTGTGACATCATTCCCTCCTTTATTTCTAAAACTCCAATTATAACGACGTTTCGGGAAATGTTCCCATCATCAGGTTAATAATACTCAAATATTAAACTTAAAAAGGAGGGAATGATGTCGCAATTTTTATAATAAAATATACCAAAGCCTCCATAAACTAAAAATTATAGAATATTATTTTTATTAGTTCTAATTTTACTTGTTATTCACTGCTAGGTTGTTGTATATTTTTAGTGAACTTACACTAGACCTAGAACTAGAAACATTTGGGTTTAGCTGTTTTAAGAGACGTAGCCATGCGTCTCTTAAGATCGACTCAACCCAACCCAACCCAAATTTTTCTTGATTTAGATCTAGTATGAGTTCTAGTAACAGTGCTAAGTGATGCTAAATAACATTAGATGGCGCTAGGTTGTTATCATCTATTACAATAAAGACAAATGAAGTATACAGGATCAACCAAAAAATTATGACGAAACCAAGTTGTGTTTTCTCTAATGGAACACCTGTATATTATTCCATATTTCGGAATTCTAAACAAAATTCATGTAGCACGTCGTAATCCTAAACTTAACCGTTTTTGAGATCTTGAACTTTGAAAATCACTCTCTAAATTTGACATAAAAATATATTAAATTTGTCGTTTTTCATCTCCATAGCAACGTAGTATAACACATATCAAAAATAGTTTAAATAATGTCAACTCAAAGATAAATTAGATAAATTCGTAAATTTTTAAAAGCTCGATATCTGGAAAACGGTTAAGGTAAGGTCTATGATATGTTACATAAATTTTGTATAGAATTTCGAGATGAACTCAAATATGGAATAATATACAGGGTGTTCCATTAAAGAAAACGTAATTTTGTTTCGTCATAACTTTTTGACTGACCCTGTATACTTAATTTGTCTTTATTGTTGTAATAGATTTAAAAAAACACTGAAACTTTTGTATCTCAATATTTTTCACTAGCTATCTTACTTTAGGAGATAAATGGCCGTTTCCATACATATCAGCGACCCTGTACTTATAATGAAATAAAACTAGAACTAACACTAGACCTAGAACTAGAAAAATTCGGAATTTTCTAGTTCTAGGTCTAGTGTTAGTTCTAGTTTTATTTCTTCTTCACCGCTAGCTTGTTGTATATTTTTGATGAACTAACATTAGAGCTAGAAATATTTGGGTTTAGCCGTCTTAAGAGACGCAAGGCTAAACCCATATGTTTTTAATTCTAGATCTAATTTGAGTTCTAGTAACAGTGCTAGGTTGTTATACAGGATGTCCTAAAATGCTTCCTAAGGGAGGTAGAGCGCTTTGAAGAAGACGTTCAATATGTGGTTATTTCTCATTATTTCAAAAACTACTAGGGTTAGAAACACGAAATTTTGCATATCTAGCTATTTTTACGGGGCGAATACGATAATCGAATAAAACATTAGAAGGAATGTGCAGTTGCGGTGCAGTTTTAGTGATAGTTTAATACACATGTTTGTGTGCAGTATTTTACTTAGTATTATTTATCTTGAAAACGAGTGGTCGTAGACCATTTTAAGCAGAACATTTTTTATGTATTTTTTTAGATTCTAATTTTGAGGTTAAAATAGTGAAAATATCAAAGCAAAAAAAATCTCTTATTTCCGCAACTGCACATTCCTTCTAACTTTTCTTCATGATTTTGTATGTGGAATCACACCTTTAAATATACGAACGCAATTTCCGGGCACCCTGTATACTTAAAAGGATCTTTTTAGATCTAGCCAGGTTGTTGTATATTTTTAGTTAATTAACACTAGAACTAGAAAACATTCGGGTTTAGCAGTCTATTCCTCCAATGGATTGGTCTAGTATCTTCTGCATCATGTAATTCAATCTGAGATGTGTATTAAATGAACTTCTTACTACTAATAGAATACTATACTCAAGTTATTTTTGTTTCATAACTATTATCGGATACATTTGTATTAAAAAAAAAGGAAATAATTCAATTAGAAAAAAATTTGTTTAAATTCTTAAAACGTGCGAGTGAAATTAAATAACTATTACTATCAACATGTTTCAAAACGTTGCCATTTGCTTGATTAGGCAAGGTTCGTTTGAGATAACAACAAAATGCAGTTGAGTTATGTGTTTGTAATTTTTTTTGTAACCTTATCGGTTTGGTGTTCTTTTTATCTTATACTATTAGGTTTGTTTATATATTTTATTTATTTATTTTTTTAGGTTTTACAATAATCAATCTTCTTTCTTGCATTGCGGTTTGGATCCATCAAACCCGGAAACGACCCCCGTAATCGGCCAAAAACAAATCCACCAAAAAATCCAACAATTAAATTTTCGCGATTGCCACGCGAAAATTTCTCAAGTTGACTCTCAAGCGACCTTGGGAAATGGCGTCGTCGTCCAAGTTACCGGCGAATTATCCAATGCTGGTCAACCGATGCGCCGTTTCACCCAAACTTTTGTCTTGGCGGCTCAGAGTCCTAAAAAATATTACGTTCATAACGATATCTTTCGTTATCAAGTAATTAATTTGTTTTCGTTTATTTTCGATTGGGATTCATTTAAAAACGTTTGTTTAGGATGAAATTATTTCTGAGGAGGATTGCGAAACCGAGAACAGATCTGATGTTGAAGACGACATCAATCAAGAACGTCCCGCTTTAGTTGGGGAAATGCCACCGATCGCACAACAACCCATTCCTTATTACACACCACCGAGTGCCGCCCCAATTCAAGGCGCGATTCCGCAGGTGCCTCCTCATCATCATACGCAACCCCCACCTCATGTTATGCCACCTCAACCAACTCCAGTTCCAACTGTTAATGGAGCGATTCATCCTGATGATTTAAATAATGTTTTACCGCGTAAGAAAACTTCTTAAGTTTTAATTTTTTGAATAATTAGTGTTTTTTTAGCTGCTCCAGTTGCGCAACATGTAGCTTCAACTCAATCAGCGCCTACCATGGCACCACCTATGGCGGCTTTAGCACCCCCATCAATGCCACCACAACCTCAAATGACGGTTCCCGCGATGTCTACAGTTGATGATCGACAACAACAACCAATAACGATTGAAGAAGGCGCGGGAGATGGTCCCATTGAGACTATTTATGGTGATGAACCCACCGAGGCGATTCCTGGAGAACCGGAAATTGTGCCTGTTGAGCCTACAGTTGTCTCAAACGAACCTAAAACCTACGCTACTTTGCTTAAATCGGGAAGTTGTATTGGAAGTGGAACTGGAGGAGGTTATGGAGGAGGAAACGTTTCACAACAACCATCAATTACACCGGTAATTAATTTTAATTTAATAAATTTGTTGTAATAATATATACCTTCTAAATGAGTTTTCTAACGAATAATAGCGGTGAATAATCATTATTCACGGGTAATCAACTTGACAGATTAATAATAATTATTTGAAACATCAAAATTTCAAAAAACGTCAATTTAATTTATTTTTTTTGGGCTTTTTTAAAGTTTTGCCTTAAAAAAAACTCTTTTTATCTTATGATTTAGCAATAAATTAATTAATTTTCATAAAAAAAACCTTGCGTTTTCTTAAATTTGATTTTTGCCAATTTTTTGTGAGTTTGTTACCTTTGATTTTTTTTCCCTTTGCGTTTTAACTTTTTTTCAAAATTTTTTTTTTTTAATTAAAAAAATAATCGGTTCTTTGTATGGAATCAAAATTTCAAAAAACGTCAATTTAATTTAATTTTTTATTACTTTCTAAAGGTTTGACATTAAAAAACGTAAACAAATTCCTATGATTTAGCAATAAATTAATTAATTTTCGTGACGTTTCATAAAATTGACATTTAATTTTGACAAATTGTTGTTAAGTTGGTTACAGTTGGTAACATTGAATTCGTGTCACATTGACGTTTAAACTTTATTTAAAAAAATAAATTTATGGAATCAATTTCAATTAATAGTCATGGACTATTTTAATAATAACTATTTTATTTTGATGTTTTTTTAGCCTCCTGCTCAAAGAAATTTCGATAGAGACATTCAGAGTCAACAAAATATCCAAGGGGGGTTAACTTCCGGTCAACGTCCTAGTATGAATAGGGTTGTTAATAACGTTAGGGGTGGAAATCAACCGAGAGTACCAAGGCAAGATTCTCGTGGAGGCCCTGGAAGGCAAAATGATGATGGTTTGACAAATAAAATTTAAGAAAAATAAAATTAATTATTATTTTTTTAAATTATTTAGTTGATGAGCGCAGGCGATCCCAAGGTAACAATTATAACGACACCAACCAATTATTTTTGGGAAATTTACCCCACACTGCAACAGAAGAAGATCTCAGAGAGATTTTCTCCCAATTTGGCCATATTGTTGATTTACGTATCCATTCAAAACAAAGTAAAGGCGGTGTTATGGGAGCTAGAATCACCCCTAATTATGGATTTATAACTTATGAGACTCAACAAGGCGTTATGGATTGTTTAGCTGCTAAAGTAAGTTATTAAAATTATTAATTAATATATGTATAACATAATTAAAAAATATACTTTGGGACAAATTTTGAGAAAAAGAATGTTGAAAAAGTTTAATGAAGGATTAGGGTTAGATAAACTAAAAAAATCGTATCTGTCGTATTTTTAGGAGTACAGAATTGATTTATATGTTAAATTAGAGCCAAAAGATGATATTTTATGATAAATCATAAATTTAATGTGGTATGATTACAAAAATTTCGAAAAAAAAGTTGTTGAAAGTCTTAAAAAAGAACTAGGATTTTATGTCGTAAAAAGGATAAATTCAAAAAATCGTATCTGGGTTATTTATTGAAGTACACTATTGATTCATGTATCATTTTAAAGCTAAAAGATGATACTTTGGGGGGAAATATAAACATGTTGCTGTTTGGTTATAAAAATTTTCAGAAAAAAAATATGTTGTAAAAGTTTTATGAAAAGATTAGGGTTAGATAAACTAAAAAAAATCATATCTGTCTTATTTTTAGGAGTACAGAATTGATTTATATGTTAAATTAGAGCAAAAAGATGATATTTTATGATAAATCATAAATATAATGTGGTATGATTACAAAAATTTCGAAAAAAAAGTTGTTGAAAGTCTTAAAAAAGAACTAGGATTTTATGTCGTAAAAAGGATAAATTCAAAAAATCGTATCTGGGTTATTTATTGAAGTACACTATTGATTCATGTATCATTTTAAAGCTAAAAGATGATACTTTGGGGGGAAATATAAACATGTTGCTGTTTGGTTATAAAAATTTTCAGAAAAAAAATATGTTGTAAAAGTTTTATGAAAAGATTAGGGTTAGATAAACTAAAAAAAATCATATCTGTCTTATTTTTAGGAGTACAGAATTGATTTATATGTTAAATTAGAGCAAAAAGATGATATTTTATGATAAATCATAAATATAATGTGGTATGATTACAAAAATTTCGAAAAAAAAGTTGTTGAAAGTCTTAAAAAAGAACTAGGATTTTATGTCGTAAAAAGGATAAATTCAAAAAATCGTATCTGGGTTATTTATTGAAGTACAGTATTGATTCATGTATCATTTTAAAGCTAAAAGATGATACTTTGGGGGAAGATATAAATATGTTGCTGTTTGGTTATAAAAATTTGGAGAAAAAAAAAATGTTGTAAAAGTTTTATGAAAAGATTAGGGTTAGATAAACCAAAAAAAATCATATCTGTCTTATTTTTAGGAGTACAGAATTGATTTATATGTTAAATTAGAGCAAAAAGATGATATTTTATGATAAATCATAAATTTAATGTGGTATGATTACAAAAATTTCGAAAAAAAAGTTGTTGAAAGTCTTAAAAAAGAACTAGGATTTTATGTCGTAAAAAGGATAAATTCAAAAAATCGTATCTGGGTTATTTATTGAAGTACAATATTGATTCATGTATCATTTTAAAGCTAAAAGATGATACTTTGGGGGAAGATATAAATATGTTGCTGTTTGGTTATAAAAATTTGGAGAAAAAAAATATGTTGTAAAAGTTTTATGAAAAGATTAGGGTTAGATAAACCAAAAAAAATCATATCTGTCTTATTTTTAGGAGTACAGAATTGATTTATATGTTAAATTAGAGCAAAAAGATGATATTTTATGATAAATCATAAATATAATGTGGTATGATTACAAAAATTTCGAAAAAAAAGTTGTTGAAAGTCTTAAAAAAGAACTAGGATTTTATGTCGTAAAAAGGATAAATTCAAAAAATCGTATCTGGGTTATTTATTGGAGTACAATATTGATTCATGTATCATTTTAAAGCTGAAAGATGATACTTTGGGGGAAGATATAAATATGTTGCTGTTTGGTTATAAAAATTTTGAGAAAAAAAATATGTTGTAAAAGTTTTATGAAAGGATTAGGGTTAGATAAACTAAAAAAAAAATCATATCTGTCTTATTTTTAGTAGTACAGAATTGATTTATATGTTAAATTAGAGCAAAAAGATGATATTTTATGATAAATCATAAATTTAATATGGTATGATTACAAAAATTTCGAAAAAAAAGTTATTAAAAGTCTTAAGAAAGAACTAGGATTTTATGTTTTAAAAGAATAAATTAAAAAAATCGTATCTGGGTTATTTATTGATGTACAGTATTGATTCATGTATCATTTTAAAGCTAAAATATGATACTTTGGGGGAAGATATAAATATGTTGCTGTTTGGTTATAAAAATTTTGAGAAAAGAAATATGTTGTAAAAGTTTTATGAAAGAATTAGGGTTAGATAAATTAAAAAAATCATATCTGTCTTATTTTTAGCCGATATTTTTCCCAAATAATGATAAAACCGGTACGATGTTAAACGTCGAAGAAAAGAAAATGAAAGATCGTCAATTTGGACCTGGAAATGGACGCCAAGGTGGTCCAGATAATAATGGCGGAGGTGGAATTGGCGGTCCAAGGCCTAGAGATAGAGATAACGGAGGTGGACAAAGACGAGGAGCACCAGGAGGTGGTCCAAACAGAGGTGGAGGTCCCCCAACGGGTGGTCCAGGTGGTAATCGTGGACCGAGCAACTTTAACAGAGGCAGCGGAAGTGGTGGTCCCCCAAATCGAGGTCAAAATAACGCGTACGGTCCTGGAAATCGACGCTAGTAGTCGGCCCCCTATTGAAGACCACAATTATCGCTAAAAGAGACCCTTCTCCTTCTTTTTACATACCCAATTTACCTACTACTATTATATTAGAAAACCGAACGAACGTGCGGACGTTAATTTAATAATAAATAATAAAAAATGAATAAAACGCGTGTTGGACGTGTATAGTGTGCTCTGATTTAAAGAAGAAAAAATATATGGGAAGAAAGACGAAATAAGTGGGAAGAATAAGAAAAAAATTAATAAATAGAGAGAAGATAAGAATTGAAGAATTTTTTTTAAGAGGGAAATAATAGTAATTATTATTATTATGAGTAATGGTAAAGTTGGTTTTAATAAATTATCTTTTTTTTTTTTTTTGAGGCGGTTGTAAAATCGGAATTATTTCGTTACGAAAAATCGATTTAATTTTATTTTTTATTAATACTACCTCTCATATTTTTCGTTTTAATTAAAAAGCATTATAAGAAAAGATTCATGATTTTGTATCCGCCTTAATAATAGAAATATACTTATATTAAGGTGTCTTTAAAGAGAAAGTTTTTAATATAAAAAAAACCATTCCAACTTTTTTTTAATTCGACATACAACTTAAAATAAATCTAAAAATAAAAAATAAAGCATTTCTTTTTGATATTAATGAAAAAATAAATCTAAATTTTCTCTTTAATTAAACACCCCGTATATAATATATACACTTATACATACAAAAAAAATAGAATTGTTCATGAAGAAAAATATATAAAAAGATGAAGAAAAAAACGTTAGTGTGCCAATCGTAATAGTGACTTTGAATTGTAATAAAAAAAATTTATTCCATTTAAATGGGAAAGTGAAATAAATAAAATAAGAAGCCATCAAAGTACACCTAAAATTCATTTTGAAAAAGTTTATTAACAGTTTTATTTTCCTTTAAAACCTTTTATTTTTATTACTATTATTATTTTTTTTTTGTAGACAGAGTGTATTTATTGGCTGTGTGCTTATAATTTATAATTCAAGATGGGTTTTATGGATGATTTTGAGGGTTTCTTTCCAAGTTTCTTTTTTAATTTTCCATTAATGAATTAAATAAAAAGAATATGAGTTTGTCACCAGACAGTCATCAATATTTAGAAATTAAACATAATAAACTAGAATTAAATTGAAAGATGATGTAATTTTTAAAAACGGATGTAATTAAAAAAAAACAGCTGTCATATTTTTTAATAATAAACGTCTGTCTGTCGGCATTTTAATTTAATTAAAGTAAACTACAAAAAAAAAAATAATGAAAGAAAAATTTTGTAGATTTTTTTTGTATTTGAAAACTTGTATAAAACAAAAAATGGATTTTCTCTCATTCTTTTTTACTTATTTAGTTCTATTTATTTTTAATTAACCTAATTTCCTTGTAATATTTCTTTTTTGTATAAATAAGCGTTTTCTGATAATTTAACTTTTTTTTTCAAGATATAGAAAAACCCTTTAATTGCTATTTATTTTTTTAACAATTTATTTTAGATTAAATTAGCATCGTGTACAAGAAATCTAATATGACCTCAAGATCCAGTGAAAATAATATGAGATATAAATTACCCCCTTCTTCCCATAAAGGTATTTTAATTTTTTTTATTAATTTTAAACATTTATTCTTAAATATTTATCAAAAAAATATATTAAGAGTAACCTTTATCATCTTTTTTTCAATTTAACTAATTGATTAATCTTGATATTTCAGGATCAAACCCCCATAGTCATGTGTCAGAATTTAATTAAACCAGAAAGTATGGTAAATCCCTTTTTATTTATTCTTTTTAAAACTAGNAGATTAGGGTTAGATAAACTAAAAAAAATCATATCTGTCTTATTTTTAGGAGTACAGAATTGATTTATATGTTAAATTAGAGCAAAAAGATGATATTTTATGATAAATCATAAATTTAATGTGGTATGATTACAAAAATTTCGAAAAAAAAGTTGTAAGTCTTAAAAAAGAACTAGGATTTTATGTCTTAAAAAGGATAAATTCAAAAAATCATATCTGGGTTATTTATTGGAGTACACTATTGATTCATGTATCATTTTAAAGCTAAAAGATGATACTTTGGGAGAAGTCATAAACATGATATGGTATGGTTATAAAAATTTTGAGAAAAAGGATGTTGAAAAAGTTTTATGAAAAGATTAGGGTTAGATAAACTAAAAAAATCATATCTGTCTTATTTTTAGTAGTACAGAATTGATTTATATGTTAAATTAGAGCAAAAAGATGATATTTTATGATAAATCATAAATTTAATGTGGTATGATTACAAAAATTTCGAAAAAAAAGTTGTTGAACGTCTTAAAAAAGAACTAGAATTTTATGTCATAAAAAGGATAAATTCAAAAAATCGTATCTGGGTTATTTATTGAAGTACACTATTGATTCATGTATAATTTTAAAGCTAAAAGATGATACTTTGGGGGAAGATATAAATATGTTGCTGTTTGGTTATAAAAATTTTGAGAAAAAAATGTTGAAAAAGTTTTATGAAAGAATTAGGGTTAGATAAACCAAAAAAAATCATATCTGTCTTATTTTTAGGAGTACAGAATTGATTTATATGTTAAATTAGAACAAAAAGATGATATTTTATGATAAATCATAAATTTAATGTGGTATGATTACAAAAATTTCGAAAAAAAAGTTGTTGAAAGTCTTAAAAAAGAATTAGGATTTTATGTCGTAAAAAGGATAAATTCAAAAAATCGTATCTGGGTTATTTATTGAAGTACAGTATTGATTCATGTATCATTTTAAAGCTAAAAGATGATACTTTGGGAGAAGTCATAAACATGTTGCTGTTTGGTTATAAAAATTTTGAGAAAAAAATGTTGAAAAAGTTTTATGAAAGGATTAGGGTTAGATAAACTAAAAATATCATATCTGTCTTATTTTTAGGAGTACAGAATTGATTTATATGTTAAATTAGAGCAAAAAGATGATATTTTATGATAAATCATAAATTTAATGTATGATTACAAAAATTTTTTAAAAAAAGTTGTTGAAAGTCTTAAAAAAAAACTAGGATTTTATGTCGTAAAAAGGATAAATTCAAAAAATCGTATCTGGGTTATTTATTGAAGTACAGTATTGATTTATGTATCATTTTAAAGCTAAAAGNCCCCTATTGCATCCTATTGTTGTGAACAAGCCATCAGCATCGCAACAGCCAAACAAAATAACAATAATAGTTTTTATGACACTTATTATACGCGTCTATGACGAGTGTCTCGTGTGCAGAAGGCTTAAGTTATACGTTTTTGAATACTGCGTAGATTTGTATCAATATGGCAACAACCTGGGCTTAATGGAGTCCTACATGTTGGAAAAATGTAGCTTCATGGACTCTTATTTTTGAGAACCGTACAGTTTTGTATCAATACAGGTGTCTCACGTAATTAGTTCGTTAGAAGTTTTTCAGGTTTCACTATGATCATAATTTCGTTATTTTAAATGGAATGCTATAGTTTTTATTAATAAGTAAAAGAATAGGTTGAATTTGATAAAAGTACCTAGCGTTTTTCGTTTTCGAGTTATTTTGGTAAATTTCAACATGCTCTTTAAAAGCCCATATCTCAGCCAACGTTCATTCAATAAAGATCTACATTGGCACAATTACTCTTCAGATGCTGTCAAATAGATTGTCATTTGTTGGGTATTTTATACAGGTGGTCAAAAATTAAATTACTGTTTCTCCATATTTAATGGGGAGAAAGTCGAAAATTTTAAATGGTACGTCCCATATTTTGTTAACTTATCAGAAAGCGAATTTAATTCTCTACAAATTATCTATAAACATTCCTATACCTATTTATTGTAGTTTGCTTCATATTGGGAAATTTGTTAAAACATGTACTTATTACATTTTTTTTATTAGAACGCTATGGAATTTTGACAGTTTTTGGATTGCAGGTTAATAAAAACGGGAGAAAGATGTGGAAGTTGTCCGATTCTATACTAAACAAGGAAAAACGTAGCGAGTCACCTGCACAATTAACTGTGTCTGGTCAAAAGCTTTTGCCAATGCATTCAATGACCATTTTCTCAATGTACACAACATTAATACTATGGTTCAAACCTATCCAGAATTCGATATCACATCAATTGTTCCGCGTAACAGCCACTCGATTTTTATTACTCCCAACATCTAAGAACGATGTATAAAGGGTAATCAATAACTTAAAAAATAAGTTAATGTGCATGATACACTGAGCGCGACCGTCTTAAAAAAGATAGCACATGAAATTTCTGAATCACCTAGTATTGTTTATAACAGGATAATAGATGAGTGCAACAAAATCTGGCCACGCTATCTTATAGAACAGTGGTATCCATAACGTCGATCGCCAAGAAAATCATGAATCTGAAATATCTTCTTCGAAATATCGGCTTCAGAGCAAAAAAAAAGTAAGGTTACTTTAAACCCTTCGGTCGATCTTGGCAAGACATTTATACAAAAAGTCGATTTTGATCAAAAATTAGTGGACATCACTGCTCTAAATTGATTAAACGTCAAAGTTGTTGATTTTCGAAAATTAACTCAATTATAACTCAAAAACTAAAAGCGANTTTTAGGAGTACAGAATTGATTTATATGTTAAATTAGAGCCAAAAGATGATATTTTATGATAGATCATAAATATAATGTGGTATGATCACAAAAATTTCGAAAAAAAAGTTGTTGAAAGTCTTAAAAAAGAACTAGGATTTTAAGTCTTAAAAGGATAAATTAAAAAAATCGTATCTGGGTTATTTATTGGAGTACACTATTGATTCATTTATCATTTTAAAGCTTAAAGATGATACTTTGGGAGAAGACATAAACATATTGCTGTTTGGTTATAAAAATTTTGAGAAAAGAAATGTTGAAAAAGTTTTATGAAAGGATTAGAGTTAGATAAACCAAAAGAAAATCATATCTGTCTTATTTTTAGGAGTACAGAATTGATTTATATGTTAAATTAGAGCCAAAAGATGATTTTTTATGATATGTCATAAATTTAATGTGGTATGATTACAAAATTTCGAAAAAAAAGTTGTTGAAAGTTTTAAAAAAGAACTAGGATTTTATGTCGTAAAAGGGATAAATTCAAAAAATCGTATCTAGGTTATTTATTGAAGTACAGTATTGATTCATGTATCATTTCAAAGCTAAAAGATGATACTTTGGGGGAAGATATAAACATGTTGCTGTTTGGTTATAAAAATTTTGAGAAAAAAAATATGTTGTAAAAGCTTTATGAAAGAATTAGGGTTAGATAAACTAAAAAAAATCATATCTGTCTTATTTTTAGTAGTACAGAATTGATTTATATGTTAAATTAGAGCAAAAAGATGATATTTTATGATAAATCATAAATTTAATGTGGTATGATTACAAAAATTTCGAAAAAAAAGTTGTTGAAAGTCTTAAAAAAGAACTAGGATTTTATGTCGTAAAAAGGATAAATTCAAAAAATCGTATCTGGTTTATTTATTGAAGTACACTATTGATTCATGTATCATTTTAAAGCTAAAAGATGATATTTTGGGGGAAGATATAAACATGATATGGTATGGTTATAAAAATTTTGAGAAAGAGGATGTTGAAAAAGTTTTATGAAAGGATTAGGGTTAGATAAAGTAAAAAAATCATATCTGTCTTATTTTTAGGAGTACAGAATTGATTTATATGTTAAATTAGAGCCAAAAGATGATATTTTATGATAAATCATAAATTTAATGTGGTATGATTACAAAAATTTCGAAAAAAAAGTTATTAAAAGTCTTAAAAAAGAACTAGGATTTTATGTCGTAAAAAGGATAAATTAAAAAAATCGTATCTGGGTTATTTATTGAAGTACAGTGTTGATTCATGTATCATTTTAAAGCTAAAAGATGATACTTTGGGGGAAGTCATGAACATGTTGCTGTTTGGTTATAAAAATTTTGAGAAAAATATGTTGTAAAACTTTTATGAAAAGATTAGGGTTAGATAAACTTAAAAAAATCGTATCTGTCTTATTTTTAGGAGTACAGAATTGATTTATATGTTAAATTAGAGCCAAAAGATGATATTTTATGAGAGGTCATAAATATAATGTGGTATGATTACAAAAATTTCGAAAAAAAAGTGAAAGTCTTAAAAAAGAACTAGGATTTTATGTCGTAAAAAGGATAAATTCAAAAAATCGTATCTGGGTTATTTATTGAAGTACACTATTGATTCATGTATCATTTTAAAGCTAAAAGATGATACTTTGGGGGAAGATATAAATATGTTGCTGTTTGGTTATAAAAATTTTGAGAAAAAAAATATGTTGTAAAAGTTTTATGAAAAGATTAGGGTTAGATAAACTAAAAAAAAATCATATCTGTCTTATTTTTAGGAGTACAGAATTGATTTATATGTTAAATTAGAGTACAAAATTGATTTATATGTTAAATTAGAGCAAAAAGATGATATTTTATGATAAATCATAAATTTAATGTGGTATGATTACAAAAATTTCGAAAAAAAAGTTATTAAAAGTATTAAAAAAGACCTAGGATTTTATGTCGTAAAAAGGATAAATTCAAAAAATCGTATCTGGGTTATTTATTGGAGTATATTATTGATTCATTTATCATTTTAAAGCTAAAAGATGATACTTTGGGGGAAGATATAAATATGTTGCTGTTTGGTTATAAAAATTTTGAGAAAAAAGTGTTGAAAAAGTTTTATGAAAGGATTAGGGTTAGATAAACTAAAAAAAATCATATCTATCTTATTTTTAGTAGTACAAAATTGATTTATATGCTAAATTAGAACAAAAAGATGATATTTTATGATAGGTCATAAATATAATATGGTATGATTACAAAAATTTTGAAAAAAAGTTGTTGAAAGTCTTAAAAATGAACTAGGATTTTATGTCGTAAAAAGGATAAATTCAAAAAATCGTATCTGGGTTATTTATTGGAGTACACTATTGATTCATGTATCATTTTAAAGCTAAAAGATGATACTTTGGGGGAAGATATAAGATTATATGGTTATAAAAGTTTTGAGAAAAAAATGTTGAAAAAGTTTTATGTAAGGATTAGGGTTAGATAAACTAAAAAAATCATATCTGTCTTATTTTTAGGAGTACAGAATTGATTTATATGTTAAATTAGAGCAAAAAGATGATATTTTATGATAAATCATAAATTTAATATGGTATAATTACAAAAATTTCGAAAAAAAAGTTATTAAAAGTCTTAAGAAAGAACTAGGATTTTATGTTTTAAAAGAATAAATTAAAAAAATCGTATCTGGGTTATTTATTGATGTACAGTATTGATTCATGTATCATTTTAAAGCTAAAAGATGATACTTTGGTGGAAGATATAAACATGTTGCTGTTTGGTTATAAAAATTTTGAGAAAAGAAATATGTTGTAAAAGTTTTATGAAAAGATTATGGTTAGATAAACAAAAAAAAATCATATCTGTCTTATTTTTAGGAGTACAAAATTGATTTATATGTCAAATAAGAGCAAAAAGATGATATTTTATGATAAATCATAAATTTAATGTGGTATGATTACAAAAATTTCGAAAAAAAAGTTGTTGAAAGTCTTAAAAAAGAACTAGGATTTTATGTCGTAAAAAGGANGGGAAATACTTTTTATACATAAAACCTTAGTAATGGGCCATAAAGATTAAATCCATAACAAGATTGAACCCAATTATTACTATTTTTTATTTATAAGCTCTAAATCGATTAAACATCAAAATTGTTGAAAATTCACTCAATCATAACTCAAAAATTAAAAGCTATGGGGAAATACTTTTTATACATAAAACCTTAGTAATGAACCATAAAGACTAGATCCAGAAAAAGATAAGCTCTAAATCAGTGGTGGCCATAATGTCGATCGCCAAGAAAATCATGAATATATGAATATATCCTATAAAATATATAAATATTTAATTTTATTTAAATCCTTCAGTCGATCTTGGCAAGACATTTATATAAAAAGTCGATCTTGATCAAAAATTAGTGGACACCACTGTTATAGAGAGTAATTTTAAATACAATTAACAGTAGTCAGATACGAATTCGTGTTTACTTGTGGCGAACTTTTTTCGTTTGGGGGTAGCTAAAAGCGTCTTTAGGAAATGACTGCAACAAAATCTGACCACGCTATTTCATAAGGGGTAGTTTTAGATACACTTTACAGTAGTCAGATTCAGATGTCTTCGGTAAAACGGGTTGCTATGTTTGGCGTGCTGTTTTCACACCGGTTAAAAACTATAGCATTCTATTTCCGGTAGAGACAGCCATTTTGAAAACATTTTAGATCGAAAGTTCCGAATGAGTCAGTTAGGTGAGACACCTATATAGTAATTAAAATAGACGAGTTTATTTGGCATTATTAAGGGAACGTTTAGAAAATAATAATTTTGTGTAAGAAATTTATTTATTTATTCTATACCAGAACAAAAAAAAAATTAAAATGTACTCAAAGAACACAGAAGAAACATCTTACAAAGACTAAATCCATAACAAGATTGAACCCAATTATTACCATTTTTTATTTATAAGCTCTAAATCGATTAAACATCAAAATTGTTGATTTTCGAAAATTAACTCAATTATAACTCAAAAACTAAAAGCGATGGGAAAATATTTTTTATACATAAAACCTTAGTAATGGTCCATAAAGATTAAATACATAACAAGATTGAACCCAATTATTACTATTTTTTATTTATAAGCTCTAAATCGATTAAACATCAAAATTGATTTTCGAAAATGAACTCAATCATAACTCAAAAACTAAAAGAGATGGACAAAAACTTTTTATATATAAAACCTTAGTAATGGGCCATAAAGATTAAATCCATAACAAGATTGAACCCAATGATTACCATTTTTTATTTATAAGCTCTAAATCGATTAAACATCAAAATTGCTGATTTTCGAAAATTAACTCAATTATAACTCAAAAATTAAAAGCGATGGGGAAATACTTTTTATACATAAAACCTTAGTAATGGGCCATAAAGACTAAATCCATAACAAGATTGAACTTAATTATTACCATTTTTTATTTATAAGCTCTAAATCGATTAAACATCAAAATTGTTGAAAATTAACTCAATCATAACTCAAAAACTAAAAGCGATGGGAAAATACTTTTTAGACATAAAACCTTAGTAATGGACCATAAGCTCTAAATCAGTGGTGGCCATAAGGTCGATCGCCAAGAAAATCATGAATCTGAATATATCCTATAAAATATATAAATATTTAATTTTATTTAAACCCTTCAGTCGATCTTGGCAAGACATTTATATAAAAAGTCGATCTTGATCAAAAATTAGTGGACACCACTGTTATAGAGGGTAATTTTAGATACAATTTAGCAGTAGTCAGATACGAGGAGCACATTTGTGTTTACTTGTGGCGAATTTTTTTCGTTTGGGGGTGGCTAAAAGCGTCCTCAGGAAATGACTGCAAGAAAATCTGGGCACGCTATTTCATAGGAGGTAGTTTTAGATACATTTTACAGTAGTCAGATTCAGATGTCTTCGGTAAAACGGTTAAAAACTATAGCATTCTATTTCCGGTAGAGACAGCCATTTTGAAAACATTTTAGATCGAAAGTTCCGAATGAGTCAGTTACGTGAGACACCTGTATAGTAATTAAAATAGACGAGTTTATTTGGCATTATTAAGGGAACGTTTAGAAAATAATAATTTTGTGTAAGAAATTTATTTATTTATTCTATACCAGAACAAAAAAAAAATTAAAATGTACTCAAAGAACACAGAAGAAACATCTTACATTTCTAATAACTAAACCGAAACTTTCTCACTGAAACGTAAAAATACTATGTATTATTATTACACATTAAAAAAAAATCTATTCTAACATTATAACAAAAAAATATCCTGATACGTTTCAAAAGTTCCTTTACATTCTAAATATATTTATATTCATATATACTTTTTTTTTTTCATCAAATGTGAAGGCACATTAACAGAATAGCAGTACTCTTCCCTTACTAAAAAAATTCACCCACAATTTTTTTTATTTTGCCTCCTTTATAAAAACCCCACATTATTTAATCATCATACAAATTTAAATTATTATTTAAAAAAAATTCCGCTACACTATGGCAGGTAATGAACGCGTTCAACAATATTAAAACACATCATTGAGACACCACATCATCATCATCAGTTAGTTAGTTTCTTTTTTCATTGATTTCATTTTAAGTCATTATTAATTAAAGTAAATTTTGTACATACAGCAGTAGTAGTAATAGTTTATAATTAAACGTAGCGGTTATTTTAATCAACCTAAGCAGGCTGAGAGTGTGCCCCTTTCTTTCCGATTAACGATTTATGAATATGCGGAATTACACCACCACCTGCAATCGTTGCTTTTATCAAACTGTCCAATTCCTCATCACCACGAATAGCTAATTGAAGATGACGCGGCGTGATACGTTTCACTTTTAAATCTTTCGATGCGTTACCAGCTAATTCAAGCACCTAAAAAAAATTTTATTTAATAAACATGAACGAACCTAACCTATAAACAAAAAATGGCGGCCATTTTATGAAAGCTTACCTCCGCGGTTAGATATTCCAAAATAGCAGCCGAATAAACGGCTGCTGTGGCCCCAACGCGTCCGTGACTTGTTGTACGATTCTTTAAGTGCCTATGAATCCTCCCCACTGGAAACTATAACCAAAAATTAACACCGAAATCTTAAAAAACATTAAATCTAAATCATAACCTCTTAATTGGCGTCTATTTTTTTTAACGTCATTTTTTATCGATGATTTTTATTTAATTTGTGTATTTACCTGTAAACCCGCACGTGCAGATCTCGAAACCGCCTTCGCTTTGGCTTTTCCTGAATCCTTCCCAGCTTTACCTCCAGCCTACGAATTAAACGAATTTAAACGAACGATCGAAATATGTACGCGGAAAATCGGATTTTTCATTTAATTAATTATCAAAACGTTAAAACTTACCATTTTTTTTTAATTACAAGCAAGCTCTTTCAAATCAAACGTAGCTCGTTCGCCGACAGGTTCTCGAGTGTTAATGCTACGCGCGCCAAACACTCAACTCGGGCAAAAGCGCAAGCGCTAAAGAGTCACGTGGCCTATTTCGACCAATAGAAACGCTCCGTTTGCACTCAAGCCAAGATGGCGTTTATCGATTCTGAACGTTAAACGTCTTTCGAGGAAATTGGAGGGAAACGGTTTTAATTTTTTAACGGTTTTTTTAGTTCCCACTAAAATTTATGTTGGTATCATTCTAATTTAAATTAATTCGAAATTGTTGTTTTTTAATTAATTATTTAATTAATTAGGCTCATTCTAATCAATTAAATAAATAAAATTAAATTAAATTCATTAAAAAGATTTATTTTTGTTTTAGTTAAATGACTTTTGAGGTTAATTTTTATGTACAGTGGTACAATAAAGTCTACATACAGCCCGAAAAATGATGATATCTCAGCTCCCGAAATGTAATTTAATGAAATTTTTTAACAAAACATGTAAGTAGTCCATATTATTTTTATATTTTACATAAAAACTATATAAGTTATTATTAATCAAGGGGAATCTTTAACTCAAAAAAGTCTACATACAATCCTAAAAAAAGTATATTAGTGTCCATTATATTATATATATAGTGTTAGTAACAGTGCTAGTGTAAAACTAGAACTAACACTATATTTAGAACTAGAATCATTCGGGTTTAGCCGTCTTTAGAGACTTGCGGCTAAACCCAAATGATTCTAGTTCTAGGTATAGTGTTAGTTCTAGTTTTAATTATTATACAGCGTTAGACCAAGAACTAGAATCATTCGTACGCCTAAACCCAAATGTTTCTAGGTCTAATGTCAGTTCTAGTGACAGTGCAAATGTAAAACTAGAACTAACACTAGACCTAGAAAGTATCTAAGTTCTAGGTTGCTCAGAACGATTGAAAACTGCATCAACATTGTCTAAAATTGCTTTATAAGGTAGCAACATTTTTCAAAATGTTTCCAAATAGGTTCATAGCCACCTCATGTTATTCAAAAACTGGTTGAGCATAATTTTATACTTGTCTAAATCATTAACAACTAATTTTTAAACAATCCATGTTGCTCAAAATGACTGAAAACTAGTTGATAGTCATGAAAAACTTGTCTAAATGTATAAGAACTAGTTTGTAGCAAGTCTAGGTTGCTCAGAACGATTGAAAACTGCACCAACAGTGTCTAAAATTGTTTTATAAAGTAGCAAAATTGTTCAAAATGATTGCAAATAACTTCATAGCCATCTCATGTTATTCAAAATCATTGAAAACTGGTTGAGCATAATTTTATACTTGTCTAAATCATTAACAACTAATTTTTAAACAATCCATGTTGCTCAAAATGACTGAAAACTAGTTGATAGTCATGAAAAACTTGTCTAAATGTATAAGAACTAGTTTGTAGCAAGTCTAGGTTGCTCAGAACGATTGAAAACTGCACCAACAGTGTCTAAAATTGTTTTATAAAGTAGCAAAATTGTTCAAAATGATTGCAAATAACTTCATAGCCATCTCATGTTATTCAAAATCATTGAAAACTGGTTGAGCATAATTTTATACTTGTCTAAATCATTAACAACTAATTTTTAAACAATCCATGTTGCTCAAAATGACTGAAAACTAGTTGATGGTCATTAAAAACTTGTCTAAATGTATAAAGACTAGTTTATAGCAAGTTCAGGTTGCTCAGAATGACTGAAAACTGCACCAACATTGTCCAAAATTGCAAATGATTAGAAATAAGTTCATAACCATCTCATGTTGTTCAAAACCATTGATAACTGGTTGAGTATAATTTTATACTTGTCTAAATGATTAACAACTAGTTTTTCAACAATCCATGTTGCTCAAAATGACTGAAAAATAGTTGATAGTCACTAAAAACTTGTCTAAATGTATAAGGATTAATTTATAACAAGTTCAGGTTGCTCAGAATGACTGAAAACTGCACCAACATTGTCTAAAATTGCTTTAAAACGTAGCAAAATTGTTCCAAATGATTAGAAATAAGTTCATAACCATCTCATGTTGTTCAAAATCATTGATAACTGGTTGAGCATAATTTTATACTTGTCTAAATCATTAACAACTAATTTTTAAACAATCCATGTTGCTCAAAATGACTGAAAACTAGTTGATAGTCACTAAAAACTTGTCTAAATGTATAAGAACTAGTTTGTAGCAAGTCTAGTGCTCAGAACGATTGAAAACTGCATCAACATTGTCTAAAATTGCTTTATAAGGTAGCAACATTTTTCAAAATGTTTCCAAATAGGTTCATAGCCATCTCATGTTATTCAAAAACTGGTTGAGCATAATTTTATACTTGTCTAAATCATTAACAACTAGTTTTTAAACAATCCATGTTGCTCAAAATGACTGAAAACTAGTTGATAGTCACTAACAACTTGTCTAAATGTATAAGGATTAATTTATAACAAGTTCAGGTTGCTCAGAATGACTGAAAACTGCACCAACATTGTCCAAAATTGCTTTAGAACGTAGCAAAATTGTTCCAAATGTTTACAAATAAATTCATAGCCATCTCATGTTATTCAAAATCATTGAAAGCTGGTTGAGCATAATTTTATACTTGTCTAAATCATTAACAATTAGTTTTTAAACAATCCATGTTGCTCAAAATGACTGAAAATTAGTTGATAGTTACTAAAAACTTGTCTAAATGTATAAGGATTAATTTATAGGAAGTTCAGGTTGCTCAGAATGACTGAAAACTGCACCAACATTGTCCAAAATTGCTTTAGAACGTTGCAAAATTTTTCAAAATGTTTCAAAATAACTTCATAGCCATCTCATGTTATTCAAAATCATTGAAAACTGGTTATTATATTTGTCTAAATCATTAACAACTAGTTTTTAAACAATCCATGTTGCTCAAAATGACTGAAAACTAGTTGATAGTCATTAAAAACTTGTCTAAATGTATAAAGACTAGTTTATAGCAAGTTCAGGTTGCTCAGAATGACTGAAAACTGCACCAACAGTGTCTAAAATTGCTTTATAACGTAACAAAATTGTTCCAAATGATTAGAAATAAGTTTAGAACCATCTCATGTTGTTCAAAATCATTGATAACTGGTTGACCATAATTTTATACTTGTCTAAATCATTAACAACTAGTTTTTAAACAATCCATGTTGCTCAAAATGACTGAAAATTAGTTGATAGTCACTAAAAACTTGTCTAAATGTATAAGGATTAATTTATAGCAAGTTCAGGTTGCTCAGAATGACTGAAAACTGCACCAACATTGTCTAAAATTGCTTTATAACCAGAGCCGCGACGTTGTCGGGCAACTCATTGGCGGCTCGTCGCCTTACGGTAGAGACTCGGGCCACATGGACCACATCACGCCACATATAGTATACCACGCCACTGGTTGAGTTTTAGTCGGATAATCGGCCAAACACGTATTGAATGCTGCACCGCAGAGAACCCTCCCAAATTTTACATGGGCCAGCATTCAACCAGTATCGTTACGTTGCGGCACATCGATGTGCTCGATAGAAGCATGTTACTACTACGCTATAACCCGTTCGCTGCTCTATACAGATGGTGACATCAACAGCCCGAAACGTCGTGGCTCTGTTTATAACGTAACAAAATTGTTCCAAATGTTTAGAAATAAGTTCATAACCATCTCATGTTGTTCAAAATCATTGATAACTGGTTGAGCTTAATTTTATACTTGTCTAAATGATTAACAACTAGTTTTAGACAATCCATGTTGCTCAAAATGACTAAAAATTAGTTGATAGTCGTAGAACTAGAATAATTCGGTTTTAGCCGTCTTGAGAGATTTACGACTAAATCTGTAGCACAAGTCGAACTGTTTTGATATCTATTCGTGCAGGACTTCACTAACGATGATGTTGCTATTAGTGCAGATTACAACGCTTCTGCCAACTTTTTTGGAGTCGATGATCAGTTTGTTCACATTGGCTTCTATATTTATAGCAGTTACGAAGCTATCAGTGTGGATGGTCAGTGTTTTGCCTGTGCTTAAGTTGCTCTAGAGTATCGGTTCAATACCAAAGTGTGGCTTGCTTAAGAAAGTAGGTGTGATGTAGTCTGTTGAGTATGTCGCGTAGTATGCAGTTACATATTGCCTGTTTATTTCATANTAACAACTAGTTTTTAAACAATCCATGTTGCTCAAAATGACTGAAAACTAGTTGATAGTCATAAAAAACTTGTCTAAATGTATAAAAACTACTTTGTAGCAAGTCTAGGTTGCTCAGAACGATTGAAAACTGCACCAACAGTGTCTAAAATTGTTTTATAAGGTAGCAAAATTGTTCAAAATGATTGAAAATAACTTCATAGCCATCTCATGTTATTCAAAATCATTGAAAACTGGTTGAGCGTAATTTTATACTTGTTTAAATCATTAACAACTAGTTTTTAAACAATCCACGTTGCTCAAAATGACTGAAAATTAGTTGATAGTCACTAAAAACTTGTCTAAATGTATAAGGATTAATTTATAACAAGTTCAGGTTGCGCAGAATGACTGAAAACTGCACCAACATTGTCCAAAATTGCTTTATAACGTAGCAAAATTGTTCCAAATGTTTAGAAATAAGTTCATAACCATCACATGTTGTTCAAAATCATTGATAACTGGTTGAGCGCAATTTTATACTTGTCTAAATCATTAACAACTAATTTTTAAACAATCCATATTGCTCAAAATGACTGAAAATTAGTTGATAGTCACTAAAAACTTGTCTAAATGTATAAGGATTAATTTATAACAAGTTCAGGTTGCTCAGAATGACTGAAAACTACACCAACAGTGTCTAAAATTGCTTTATAACGTAACAAAATTGTTCCAAATGTTTAGAAATAAATTCATAACCATCACATGTTGTTCAAAATCATTGATAACTGGTTGAGCATAATTTTATACTTGTCTAAATGATGAACAACTAGTTTTTAAACAATCCAATACCAAAGTGTGGCTTGCTTAAGAAAGTAGGTGTGATGTAGTCTGTTGAGTATGTCGCGTCGTATGCAGTTACATATTGCCCGTTTATTTCATAGAATTTAAAGTTTAATTCCAATTTTAAGCAGATCGGCATGTCCTATTCTCAGTCTAGTAATGAGAGTGCAGAACTTTTTTTTGAAGCATGAAATAGCGTACCTAATCCCTTTAGTTGAACTGCTTCTAGTCCACTCTTGTTTCCATTGATGGTTTATGCCATCAATATCTTGCTGAAATAATTCTTTTCCATAAATTTTTACTCTATGAACCTCCTCCTGGTGTCCCGTGTTCGACAATTCGTCAGCTTTTTCATTTCGAGTCACTCGAATATCACCCATACCAGTGTGATATCAATATATCTTTCTGATATGCCAAATAGAATAGACTTAAAACTCTACTGATATAAGGATGTAATTTCTTTTTAAAGTTTGGGTTAGTGCAATTGCTCTTAAGATGGCGTAAGCCTCTACAAAAAAAAATTAAGTGATCTGGCAAGCGGTAGTATTCTTTCAATCTTCAATGAAGGGACATTAATCTCGCATGAAACACTTTTCTTATTGCTCAATCTCCTTACCTGCCACACCATTCATTCCACTGTTTGACCTGAGCATTTATATGTGTATGTACATGTCATGAATTTATTTTCTGCATTCATTTAGGATAGCAGGCCTGAATTTTGAGTAGATTTTAGCAATCAAAGGGCGATTTTAAGACTTTTAATCAGAAATCTAGTACACAACGATCTTGCTCTAATTTCAATAGATGTTTACCTGCTTCAATCGTTAGGGAAGATCTCAGTATAGCTATATAAGCTTCATAGCATGTTACTTAAAGTTTACTCATCATAATTTTAGGATTAGGCAGCAGTATCCACAAACCATATTCAATTCTGGATCTGACTAAAATGTACATTAATTAATGAATTAATCGTTACAAAAAAAGGCAGTGTATTTAAAGCACTGTATTTTATTTGTTCAAATTTAATTAATTTAAACGATTTTTAAATTTTAATTCAAATAAAATTTGAGGTTATGCCTCTTTTAACCTCTTTTTTTAATTTGACATCTTATGTCAGATTTAAAATTATTCATTAATCAAAAATAAACCTAACTTTATTTATTTACGAAACTATATTTAAACCATTTTTTGCTTTAAGAAATAACGTTTATAAAATTTGCGCAAATTAAATATCAATAATAACAAATTTAAATAATTTGTATTTTTAAATTTTTTTATCACATCATTTAGGTTGGTAGTAAATTATAAATTACATTTGAAGATGTTAATTTTAATAGTTCCCAATGAATTAAAATAAACATTATTTTGAGGAAATAAAATAACAATAATCGTATTAATAATTAGTTCAATAAACGATTTTTAAGTTTTAATTGAAATGAAATTTGAGGTTTTATCATTTTTAACCTCAGTTTTAATTTGACAGCTCATGTCAGATTTAAAATTATTAATTAATCAAAAATAAACCCAACTTTATTTAGTTACGAAAACATATTTAAACCATTTTTTGCTTTAAGAAATAACGTTTATAAAATTTGCGCAAATTAAATATCAATAATAACAAATTTAAATAATTTGTATTTTTTATCACGCCATTTAGGTTGGTACTAAATTATAAATTATTTTTTTTGATAAAGTTATTTTATTGGGTTTTAGTACTTATTTTTATAATATGGCAACTTTATTTAAAGTAATGGTTAAAAAATGTACATTAATTAATTGTTACAAAAAAGGCAGTGTACATGTATTTATAGATATTTAGAGTAATTTGCAATTAAAAGCATAAAAACTAAGCACCATCATATTCTGCTAGTTTATCTTAATCATCCTTTAACTTCCTCCTTGCTTATCGATAACGAACTTCCAACTCTTCGCATTTAACGTCGAAATCATCCTAACAAAAAAAAATCTTTAATTCATTAAAATTTTTATGGTTAAAAAGTGATTTTACCTCCTCTATCCCTAAACATTTCGTCCACTCTTCAAGTGCGATGCGATGATCGTCATCGACATCGCAAGAATCTAAAAACGGAGCAATGCAATGTTCCAAAGACATCAACGGGGCTCTTATTGGGAATAATTCGTGCCTCGATACAGATCTATCAGCTGGATGTCCATCTAAATCGCACCACTTCCAAATAGCCGCGTTTGTCCATCTTCTAGTCTGATTATTTTCCGCTTCGAGTTCCATTTTGATGAAATGATTGGGGAGTTCTTTACGATCGGCTAAATCTCTCATCACGTTAAAGAGCCAATCTCGCATACGGCGCGGAAAATCAATCATCTCCTCTTTAGTGCAATCGGGCATTTCCCTACAAGATCCGTAATACTCGACGTGAGTGTGTTTATAATTTTCTCCTTTACATCGTGAATCTCCTAAATCGCAGAAACATCTTTGTTGGTAAACGGCGCAATCCGACGGCCAAGTTTCGTTGAAGTTGCTGCAAACTTTGCGTCTTGGATCGGTTTCTTCGGGACACTCAACGATGCAAACGCAAGCGGGTTCATTTTCCTCGTTAATTTCACAAATCCGACCAGCGCTACATAAAACGCTTGCACACGGGTCTACGTGAGGAACTCGGTTATCGATCGTTTCGGTTTCTTTTGATTCATCCTCATCGATTTTTTCATCTTCCTCCATGATTTTGAAAATATCGTCGGGTTCTGATTTTGTTTCTTCAATCGCGATTGGTTTCATTATGCGCCTTACTTTTTTGTGTTTTCTCTAAAATATTAATTAATAAATTTATTTCAAAAATAATTAAGTTTAATCTTACAGGTTTTTCTGTGCTTGAGGCCCCGATTAAAGCAACACAAAGGATGATACAAAAAAGGAGTTGATACTTCATCTTTAGGCTGAAAAAAAGAATTATTTTCTGAATGTTTTTAAACAAAGCTATAAAAGGAAGCGAGTTATGATTCAGAATCTATTTTAAGAACATTTTTAATTAAGATTAAATAATCGATTGAGCTATTTTCCGTAACAAGATCTTTTTGCATATTGAAGCAAAACGAGGTCATCATTTTTAATCTCGCCTTAAGTTATATCATTCCCCACTTTTTCTTTTCCATCCCTTCTTGGAGAATTACGTCAACGCCCGGTTTAAATTACTTTTCCAGAAACCAAGACCATCTGGTTGTTTCTGCGTTAAACCCACCTCGGTTTAAAACGGTTTCGAATTGCAAATTTTATTACAATCGACAATAATAGAAACCTCGTATTGAACAAATCACGTCCACTTCTATTCTCATTCCATTACAATATTAAATTTGTTGTAGCGATTTCATCACTTCTATTTTAAAAAAAAATATACTTCCTCTCAATGATTATCTCATTAAAAAAATAGAGTCATCTTTGCGGATGTCGCGTGATTATTGATAACTTTCACAGAAATGGGTTCAATGTTGAAACTTCAAACGCGCTCGTTTATTTTGGTTTAAAAGATTTTAGGCCGAGTTTGTTTATGCGTTTTTCTTGCGCAATGTAAACTATGAACTCGTTTCTCCATGAACTCTTTGATAATTAAATTTAAAAAAAATTAAAATAAATTAATAATTGTTTAAGATTTTTGAAGCTATTTATGCTTAAAATTAGGTTTTTGTAAATAAATAAGCCTTACCAGTTTAACAGCTACTTCCCCAGTCGAGAAATAAACTGCAACTGAACTCTTTTTAGAGCTTCGAACCTCTTCGCTCGAGAAACACTCAACGAATGAACTCAATTCGATGAGAATTGGGAATCTTTTCCTCTTGAATTTAATTCGTTTAAAAAAATTATCTCAATATATAACGATAAAGTTAAAAAAGTTTTTTTTAAATAATCTTTGCTTATTAACAACTTTATTTAATTGTTTAGATTTTAATTCAAATAAAATTTGAGGTTATTTAACCTCATTTTTTTTAATTTGACAGCTTATGTCAGATTTAAAATTATTAATTAATCAAAAATAAACCCAACCTTATTTATTTACGAAAACATATTTAAACGATTTTTTGTTTTAAGTAGTAGCGTTCATAAAATTTGCGCAAATTAAATATTAATAATAACAAATTTCTATTTTTAAAATTTAGTTGAAATTAAATTGAGGTTATGTCACTTTTAACCTCTTTTTTAATTTGACAGCTCATGTCAAATTTAAAATTATTAATTAATCAAAAATAAATCTAACTTTATTTATTTACGAAAACATATTTAAACCATTTTTTGCTTTAAGAAATAACGTTTATAAAATTTGCGCAAATTAAATATCAATAATAACAAATTTAAATAATTTGTATTTTAAAATTTTTTTATCACACCATTTAGGTTGGTAGTAAATTATAAATTACATTTGAAGATGTTAATTTTAATAGTTCCCAATGAATTAAAATAAAAATTATTTTGAGGAAATAAAATAACAATAATCGTATTAATAATTAGTTCAATAAACGATTTTTAAGTTTTAATTGAAATGAAATTTTAGGTTTTGTCACTTTTACCCTCATTTTTAATTTGACAGCTCATGTCAGATTTAAAATTATTAATTAATCAAAAATAAACCCAACCTTATTTATTAACGACAACATATTTAAACAATTTTATGCTTTAAGAAGTAGCGTTCATAAAATTTGCGCAAATTAAATATCAATAACAAGTTTCAATAAAACTTTTATTTTAAATTTAAGTTGAAATGAAATTTGAGGTTATGTCACTTTTTTAATTTGACAGCTCATGTCAGAATTAAAATTAATTATTCAAAAATAAATCCAACTTTATTTATTTACGACAACATATTTAAACAATTTTATGCTTTAAGAAGTAGCGTTCATAAAATTTGCGCAAATTAAATATTAATAATAACAAATTTCCATAAAATTTAGTTGAAATTAAATTGAGGTTATGTCATTTTTAACGTCTTTTTTAATTTGACAGCTCATGTCAGAATTAAAATTATTAATTAATCAAAAATAAACCCAACCTTATTTATTTACGACAACATATTTAAACAATTTTATGCTTTAAGAAGTAGCGTTCATAAAATTTGCGCAAATTAAATATTAATAACAATAAATTACAATAAAAATTTTTTGAAATGAAATTGAGGTTATGTCATTTTTAACGTCTTTTTTTAATTTGACAGCTCATGTCAGAATTAAAATTATTAATTAATCAAAAATAAACCCAACTTTATTTATTTACGAAAACATATTTAAACAATTTTATGCTTTAAGAAGTAGCGTTCATAAAATTTGCGCAAATTAAATATCAATAATAACAAATTTCAATAAAATTTTATTTTTTAAATTTAGTGAAATTAAATTAAGGTTACGTCACTTTTTTAATTTGACAGCTCATGTCAGAATTAAAATTATTAATTAATCAAAAATAAACCCAACCTTATTTATTTACGACAACATATTTAAACGATTTTTTATTTTAAGAAATAACGTTCATAAAATTTGCGTAAATTAAATATCAATAATAACAAATTTCAATAAAATTTAGTTGAAATTAAATTGAGGTTATGTCACTTTTTTAATTTTACAGCTCATGTCAGAATTAAAATTAATTAATCAAAAATAAATCCAACCTTATTTATTTTCGACAACATATTTAAACAATTTTATGCTTTAAGAAGTAACGTTAATAAAATTTGCGCAAATTAATTATGAACAATAACAAATTTAAATAAAATTTGTATTTTTAAATTTTTTTTATCAGCCCATTTAGGTTGGTACTAAATTATTAAATTAAATTTGAATATTTCAATTTTAATAGTTCCCAATGGATTAAAATAAAAATTATTTTGAAGAAATAAAATAACAATAATCATATTAATAATTAGTTCAATAAAATTTAAACGATTTTTAAGTTTTAATTGAAATGAAGTTTGAGGTTAAGTCATTTTAAACCTGTCATTGTCAAAAAGATTTTTAAGGATGTTTTTAATATTTTAGATTTAATAACGGTGAGTATATATTGAGTTCTCTTAGTTTAAAACCGTTTTCGTTATAATCAATAACTACCTACCTAATTCTTTGGAATCTATTTGTTGGAGTCACCAAAAACTTCACACTCAACCATTAATGGATTTATGGTTACATTTAAACAAGTATTAACTTCTTCGTTTCAAGTGAGACACCAAAACTTGGTTTTTAACCGATAAATTCGCAAAATATTACCTTCATTAGAGGTTAACTTTATTAAGCAACTATGTGGTGGTAATTTAGCTTTTTCTTGTGCTATAGTTAAGCTTTTAGGCATTGTTCTATAAAACTTTATGTATCACGTAATTAATTATTAATGTTTTTAATAATATTTCGAAGAAAACCAATAAAAACTACAATTACAGTTGACAGTTTGGGGGAAAACTTTGACAAGTTAAAAGTTACTGTTTAATAATAAATAACGCCGTTCCATTCCAAGAAAAATAATTTATTATTAAAATTAATTATTCATTAGTTTATTATTAAATAAGTATTGTTTTATAAAATTAATTCATGAAATTTTTACAACGTGCGTATTGGGTTGCATAATAAATTATAATTTATTTCAGACTTTTAATTACAAAAAAATACCGCAATGGAATTTAAAAAACTACAAGTAATGAAAAAACGGCGTACACAAGAGCGGAAGGATACATAATTAACGGTCTTTGTTCAGAATCCCCAGACATGCCCACAAATAACCTAGAAGCTGATAAACTGGACCAAATTATACAAAAAATCGCCATACAAATTCCAATACTTCCATGCAATGTATAAAATATCCCAATAAAGCTAAGAGTAACAATGGGTAATAAACAATAACCTAATGTACTCGCAACAACGCCTAAAGAAAAAATATCATTTGATGGAGTCATTAGATTTAATAAGCAGTACATTAAAAGGCATGAGATTATAGAGAAGCCATAAATGTAACCGGCAGGCGTTTTGTTGCCTGAAACAAATAAACAAACAGCAAGGGCTAAGCAAAAAACTAAGGGTCCAGCTAAATCAGCCCCTTCCTTTAAAAAATCTGAATCATCAGCTAAACTATGACTTCGAAACGGGTTTAAAACTGCTATGGTTTTTTCCATGATCCTATCTGGGTAGATTTCCAACTCTTCCAATAAAGGGGGCTCATCAAAACCATCATTTTGAACTGTTGGTATTTTAGAATAATCAGGAACCAACATATCAGGGAAATCAGTTCCAAATTGGTTTTGAGGCGCGTAATAGGTATTCCCAGCCTGATTATTAAACGTTTGAAAATCTTAAAATTTCAAACAAATATTAAAAACACATTTTATAAACCAACCTAACCTCACCTAATTGTTGAGATTGCATATTTTCATACTCATCGTTTGTATCGTAAAAATTCGTAATATCTCTGTTGTTTGGGGCCCAAAATGCATCGTTTGTGTATCCGGACATGGTTTTACAGTTTAAAAACGTGAAATTTTATGTAAAGATGAGTGACAGTTTATGATGACATTGACAACGGGTAAACAATAATTTAGTGATTTTTTTTTTATGTTTGATTCAAATTTATTTAATAAAGATTTGTTTAATGATTAAAAAAAGTAATAAATTTAATAATAAAATATGTTAAATTAAAGTTAATAAATTAATTGATGATTAATTATCAATATTAAATTAACCTTAAAAAATAAAAATCCCCAGATTCGGTTTATTATAAACATAACCTAAACGCTAATCTAAAATATGAAATGGTAAGTTATTTCTTTAATAATAAAATATGTTATTTAAAATAGTTAAGTTAAATTTAATAAATTAATTATTGATTAATTACGGATATTAAATTAACCTTAATAATTAAAAATCCCCAGATTTGGTTTAGTATAAACATAACCTAAACGCTAATCTAAAATCTGAATTGGTAAGTTATTTCTTTAATAATAAAATATGTTATTTAAAATGAATAAGTTAAATTTAATAAATTAATTATTGATTAATTACGAATATTAAATTAACCTTAAAAAATAAAAATCCCCAGATCCGGTTTACTATAAACATAACCTAAACGCTATCTAAAATCTAAAATGGTAAGTTTTCGTTTAAATAAACGTAATATTTTATAATTTAACTTGTTAATTACGTTTTAGTACTCGTTATTACATAAAAAAGAAAATGCACACGATGAAAGTATTTGGAGTTGCGCTTGGGGGCGTTTACAAAAAGATAAAAAAGATTCTAAAGACCCGGATGGTGATAACTCGAGAGATTCGGTTTCTTCAGACGACGCCCCCGTTGATTATATGATAACTGGGGGTTTGGATGATTTAGTAAAAGTATGGGAATTAAAGGATAATAAATTGGAGCTAAAACATCAATTGGAAGGTCATTCGTTAGGAGTTGTTTCTGTAGCCGTTAGTAACAATGGGAGACGTATAACCAATTTAATCTTTAATTTAGAAGGTTTTATTAATTAAATTTTTTTAGTATGCGCCTCAAGTTCTTTAGATTCAAGCATGAGAATTTGGGATTTAAAGAGTGGAGAGAAAACTTCATCTATTGAAGTGGGACCGGTTGATTTGTGGACGGTTGCTTTTAGTCCTGATGATAAATATATTATTTCTGGGTCACATAGTGGAAAAATTACTATGTATAGTGTTGAGACTGCTAAAGCGGATCAAACTTTGGATACTCGAGGCAAATTTACTTTGAGTATAGCTTATGTAACGAATTATTATTATGAAAAGTTTTTTGATTAAAATATAATTAATTTTAAGAGTCCTGATGGTAAATATGTAGCTAGTGGAGCTGTTGATGGGATTATAAACATTTTTGATGTTGCTTCAAATAAATTATGGCACACTTTAGAAGGACATGCTATGCCAATACGTTCTTTATGTTTTTCACCTGATTCGCAATTTTTATTAACCGCCTCTGATGATGGTCATTTAAAACTTTATGATGTGTAAATACTTTTAATTAACTTAATTAATTCATTTTTTAATGAAAAAATAATTTGTAGGCATCAAGCGAATGTTGTTGGTACTTTATCTGGACATGCTTCTTGGGTTCTTAGTGTTGCCTTTTCACCTGATGGTACTCATTTTGTATCAGGGAGCTCTGATAAAACCGTTAAAGTTTGGGAGGTTTCAACAAAACAATGTATTCATACTTTTAAAGAACACGGAGATCAAGTAATAATAATTAAGCAAAAAGATATTATTTTAATATTCTTTTTTAGGTTTGGGGCGTTAAATACAACCCAGATAGCAACAAAATTGTTTCAGTTTCTGAGGATAGAACTATTAATGTTTATTCTTGTCCTAGTTAATAATTTTAATAAAGGAAATAAAAATAATCTCTCAAAAAGGAAATTTTATTTTTATTTATAATTCTAACGCCTCTTTAGATTTTAATTCAAATAAAATTTGTATTTATTCCTCTTTTAACCTTCTTTTTAATTTGACAGCTTACGTCAGATTTAAAATTAATCAAAAATAAACCCAACTTTATTTATTTACGAACTTATATTTAAACAATTTTTTGCTTGAAGAAGTAGCGTTCGTAAAATTTGCGCAAATTAAACATCAATATTGACAAAATTTAAAATTTAGTTGAAATTAAATTGAGGTTATGTCACCTTTAACCTCTTTTTTTAATTTGACAGCTAATGTCAAATTTAAAATTATTAATTAATCAAAAATAAAGACAACTTTATTTATTTACGAAAACATATTTAAACCATATTTTGCTTTAAGAAATAACGTTTATAAAGTTTGCGCAAATTAAATATCTTTAATACCTTTTTAATCGTTTAGGGTTTAAATACAACCCAGATAGCAACAAAATTAATTAGATTAGCATTCCGTCTTAAAAACCGATGATTTTTTATTTGGTAGGAAATGACTCAAAAGAGGCGTTAATGATAAAAAAAGTGCAGTACTTACCGAAAAATCACTTTAAAGTTGCGATTTGACGTTTCGTTTTGGAAGTTAACAATGCATTTTCGTATTAAATCCTCAACGCACAATATAAAAAGTTATTTTCACTAAACTTGTTGAGATTACAACATATTTTCGGATGAAAACCTTGTTTCTTAGGCTATCGATGCATAACGACAATTAAATGTCGTTAGATAGAATTGTTTCTACCAAATGTGTATTAATAGACTTTGTGTTAATAGATTGTTGATCTGTCAAATTACTGAAATATCTTTATGTTGTAAATATAAATGATAAATAGTAGCTTATTTAATAGTAGTTTACTTAAATTAAAATAGTTATTAAAAAAGACATGGTATACATGGTTACAAAATAAACCCGTGTGACGATAGAAACAAACCTTCCAACAACAAACTTTTACCCGTAATTTCCTATCTATTTTATTAGCCGATATCTTTCTTATTATTAGAGATAGCCGAAAACTAAATGCACCATTTGAAAGCTTGATTCTTTCTCTATGAAATCGTCGGTCCTCGTTTGCCGATATCTTGATGTTAAGATCAATAAAAGATGAAGAACACCGTTCTGTACGTAAAATAGCGTCTTTTTTAATATTAATTTTTAATTAATTAACTATTTTAACTTAAGTAAGGTACTATTAAATAAGGTGTTATACTTATTTATCATTTATATTTACAATATAAAGATATTTCAGTCGTTTGATTGATACACAATCTATTAACATAAAGTCTATTAACACACATTTAGTAGAAACAATTCTGTCTAACGACAGGTAATTGTCGTTATGCATTGATAACCTAAGAAATAAGGTTTTCATCCGAAAATATGTTGTAATCTCAATAAGTTTAGTGAAAATAACTTTTTATTTTGTGCGTGGGTATAAATTAAACAATTTCAGGTTACGATTTAATACGAAAATGCATATTTAACATTGCTTTGAACTTCCAAAAAGAAACGTCAAATCGCAACTTTAAAGTGATTTTTCGGTAAGTACTGCACTTTTGCGCACTTTTTTTTTATCATTAACGCCTCTTTTGAGTAATTTCCTACCGATTAAAGAAAAAATCATCGATTTTTAAGACGGACTACTATTCATAAATTATTCCTATTTTCAAAAAATCACAACATCATTATTCATGAATATAAAGAAATGATTTATGTACCAAATTGAAGCTTGAGATGTCTCCTTTCGATGCCTGTATAATATTAACAAACTTTATATAAAAAAGTTTCAAGAAAAATTAAAAAGTGTGATGATGTTGTTTTGACAGCTTAAAAGTGGTTAATTTTCAAATAATCATAACATCATTATTTATGAATATAAAGAAATGATTTATATACCAAATTGAAGCTTGAGATGTCTCCTTTCGATGCCTGTATAATATCAACAAACTTTATATAAAAAAATTTCGAGAAAAATGGAAAAGTGTGATGATGTTGTTTTGACAGCTCAAAAGTGGTTAATTTTCAAAAAATCATAACATCATTATTTATGAATATAAAGAAATGATTTATGTACCAAATTGAAGTTTGAGATGTCTCCTTTCGATGCCTATATAATATTAACAAACTTTATATAAAAAAATTTCGAGAAAAATTACAAAGTGTGATGATGTTGTTTTGACAGCTTAAAACGGGTTAATTTTCAAAAAATCATAACTTCATTATTTATGAATATAAAGAAATGATTTATGTACCAAATTGAAGCTTGAGATGTCTTCTTTAGAAGTCTATTTAGTATTAGAAAATTTTATATAAAAAAGTTTTGAGAAAAATTAAAAAGTGTGATGATGTTGCTTTGACAGCTTAAAAGTGGTTAATTTTCAAAAAATCATAACTTCATTATTTATGAATATAAAGAAATAATTTATATACCAAATTGAAGCTTGAGATATCTTCTTTCGATACCTATATAATATTAACAACCTTTATATAAAAAAATTTCGAGAAAAATTACAAGATATACAGACATTTGACAGCTTAAAAGTGGTTAATTTTCAATAAACTATAATTTCATTGATTATGAATATAAAGAAATGATTTATGCACCAAATTGAAGCTAAACATGTCTTCTTTCGAGACCTATATAATATTAACAAACTTTATATAAAAAAATTTTGAGAAAAATTACAAAGTGTGATGATGTTGTTTTGACAGCTTAAAAGTGGTTAATATTCAAAAAGTCATAACTTCATTATTTATGAATATAAAGAAATGATTTATGTACCAAAATGAAGCTGAAGATGTCTTCTTTAGAAGTCTATTTAGTATTAGAAAATTTTATATAAAAAAGTTTTGAGAAAAATTAAAAAGTGTGATGATGTTGTTCTGACACCTTAAAAGAGGTTAATTTTCAAAAAATCTTAACTTCATTGTTTATGAATATAAAGAAATGATTTATGTACCAAATTGAAGCTTAAGATGTCTTCTTTAAAAGTCTATTTAGTATTAGAAAATTTTATATAAAAAAGTTTTGAGAAAAATTAAAAAGTGTGATGATGTTGTTTTGACAGCTTAAAAGTGGTTAATTTTCAAAAAATCATAACATCATTATTTATGAATATAAAGAAATGATTTATGTACCAAAATGAAGCTGAAGATGTCTTCTTTAGAAGTCTATTTAGTATTAGAAAATTTTATATAAAAAAGTTTTGAGAAAAATTAAAAAGTGTGATGATGTTGTTTTGACAGCTTAAAAGTGGTTAATTTTCAAAAAATCATAACATCATTATTTATGAATATAAAGAAATGATTTATATACCAAATTGAAGCTTGAGATGTCTCCTTTCGATGCCTATATAATATTAACAAACTTTATACAAAAAAATTTCGAGAAAAATGGAAAAGTGTGATGATGTTGTTTTGATAGCTTAAAAGTGGTTAATTTTCAAAAAATCATAACATCATCATTTATGAATATAAAGAAATGATTTATGTACCAAAATGAAGCCGAAGATGTCTTCTTTAGAAGTCTATTTAGTATTAGAAAATTTTATATAAAAAAGTTGTGAGAAAAATTAAAAAGTGTGATGATGTTGTTCTGACAGCTTAAAAGTGGTTAATTTTCAAAAAATCATAACATCATTATTTATGAATATAACGAAATGATTTATGTACCAAAATGAAGCTGAAGATGTCTTCTTTAGAAGTCTATTTAGTATTAGAAAATTTTATATAAAAAAGTTTTGAGAAAAATTAAAAAGTGTGATGATGTTGTTCTGACAGCTTAAAACGGGTTAATTTTCAAAAAATCATAACTTCATTATTTATGAATATAAAGAAATGATTTATGTACCAAATTGAAGCTAAACATGTCTTCTTTCGATACCTATTACGATACAATACAGTTTATATCAGTTTTATGTTAATAAAATGATATATCTAGCGCCTCGCCCGCAAGCGACCTCGGCGAAGTGAGCATAAACAGTTTCTCATTCAAATATTGTACGTTTCGACTTTTCAAGACATCACTTGACCGATCCAACATCGCCGAGGTCGCTTGCGGGCGAGGCGCTAGAGCTGATGGTTATGTTTACAGACATAAGAATGTTTATGTTTATAGAAAATAAGTTTTCGAGAAAACAACTGTTAAAGATAAAGAACTCGTTTCGTCAGTTTCTCGTAGTTGTTCTCTTTTCTGTGCGTCGGCCGGCGTTGAAGGAAATATTATCAATATTATCGTAGTTAATCGTGTAAGTTGCTAGTTTCGGATGTCTAAACGAGTAACACTGAAGAAGTTGTAATGACATTTATGTAATCGTTGCTGTTGGTCTTTCGCATCACAAAAAGCAATGAAAGATGAGTGTTGATGAGGAGTTCAGTGCCGTTTATAGAGAATATTGTCGTGAAAACGATGAAGACAACGGCCACGACAATGACCTTAATTCGAATGGCGATGATGATGCATTACATTTCTCTCAGGTAGAAGATAGCATGGAATAAAGTTGCGTTAGGTTGGAGTTGTCTGTTGTCGATGAAGGTTGTTGTAATAATAAATGCCATACAATGATACCACGAAAAATGATCGAGAATACGAGAAATTATTTAGAGTTTAAAGCAACGAATTACAGACAAAAATCATAAAGTTCAGGATTGGATTTCAAACTGTATCATACGAACTAAAATCGCTTGCTTTTACAGGATCTTGCTTATAATTCTTTTTTACAGTATAATTACTTAATAGACGAAAAAGATGACGTGGACAAAGGACCGAACTATCGTATTTGCAATGGCTCAATATAATATTCAATTTCCTGCTTATTGGTTACACGAAGCTCGTTACTTTGGCATTTTTAAGCCTACGTACGTTATTAGTAACATCGACACGTATGAAGATTTACTGAAATGCGTGGTACAATCGTCATCAGATGGTTACAATAAAGCTGTATTGTTCGAGAAAGTTATTTGGTATG